CATGTGGCCCTATACATAAGATTTTAATGATCCTGGAGCAACATTTCATAGTTGACTATACTTCCTTTCTTTGTTTAGTCTTTCAGGTCAAATAAGAGTTATAAATAATCATCAATCCAGACTTTAATGTTTAGGGTTTATTTTTTCATTTACAAAGTAAATGCTTCATAAGTAAGCTCATGTGAAAAGCACCCATATATAGCTGAGAGCTAAAACACAGGACTCACTAATAGAACTGACTGTATTCATTCCACTTCCCCCTCTGCCTCCCAATCTCCTAATTTGTAGTAGTCTCAATTGAAAGGAAACATGAATAAATGTTGCTAATCATAGGTCTTTTATTTTTATGTAACATTGATACCAGGAAATTCTTCTAAGTTCTCAACTTTCAATGTATATGCACTGAGGTTCATGTATACTCTCTGAGAACAAACCAGAGGCATAGTGCTAAAAGATTGACTTTTAACACTTCTGTGGACTGTGTAATCATTTATTTGTTGATTTACTCAATCACGAAACATCTATTAGGCATCTACTATGTTTCAGACACTGTATGGATCATGGACTTGAGAAGTAGATAAACAATCATGTAGCTTACAGGCTAACATCTACTGAGGATTTAAGAGGATGTGAACTAGTTGTATATAAAAGCCACGAAACCACGAAAAATTGACTTGTTTTTATCTTATCCTTAATTGTCCTTAATCATTAAAATATTTGGCCCGATGAAAGTGGGAGAACCTGGCTGGTCATCAACAATTCCCCCCAAAATGGCAGGGAACACAAGGAAAGACAATATCTAGGATAGGTTTCAGGACATTGCAAATTTCATTCTTTCCAACCACTTACAGACCCAATGTTGTCAATCTACATGTAGAGTTGTAGACATCCCCCTTTCTTGAAATTGATGGAACAAACTGAGATTTACCCTAAGAAATAAACGCTTTCTACATAGATAACAAAAACAAAAATTTGAATTTCAAATTTCAGACAATGAAGTGTCAAACT